TCGGAAGAAGATATGCACATTTGCACCAAATTTGCATATCTTCTTTTGAAAGTGAAAGCAAGTTTAGACGTGCCCTTGGTGCCTTAACAACCAGCCTGTTTCTCTGTGTTTATTTATGGATTTTTCTGTGAAAAAAAAAGTGGAAAGGTCTTGGTTTTACCTCACTGAGGAACACACAATATTCTGCCCTCAAATATTTTCATGGGATAGGAAAATGATTTCTTCTCCAACTTTGTTTCAATAGACTGGATTTGGTCAGGAAAACGTGGGGCACATTTGAGCCTCCAGGATTGGACCACTGCCAAAACTGTGATCTTATTGGCGCTAATTTCAGGAAAGCTTTACACAGCTGCTAAATGCTAAGTACATGCTTCAACGCCTCCTGGATTAGGGTGGCTTTCCTGGATCCGCTTAGATCAGTCACTCCCCTCTTCTCATTGAGGTGGCTGGATTTTCAACGGGGCTGAGCATTGGGTGGGACAGAAACTAAGTTTCCGTGAGAGTTCCTCACTGGTCTTCTGTGTAACTGCGTACTCGACGTCCTCAGAGTTCTACGTGCTCACGCTAGCACATTCCTATACATCCCTGGACTTGTCCATCTTCCATAGTAGACCAGGGGAGGGCAAACACCAGCCCACACACCAGACCTGGTCCACGGGAGGTGGGTCCTGGTAGGCCCCCACCACTATATTTACCTGCTGTGCTGCAGGTACTAGCAATCGCAGCTCCCATTGTCCATGGATCACTGTTGCCAACCAACAGAAACTGCAGGAAGCAGTGTCGTGGTCTGTGCCACTTCTGAGCACTCCCATTGGCTGGGAACAGTGATCTGTGACCAATGGGAGCTGTGATCGCCACGCAGGTAAATATGGCAGTGCGGGCCCACCAGAGACTAACCCTGGCGAATCGCCACCAAGTTATTGTGATCTGTGACCAATGGGAGCTGTGATCGCCACGCAGGTAAGGAGCTGTGATCGCCACGCAGGTAAACTAACCCTGGCGAATCGCCACCAAGTTATTGCCCGCCCCTGTCGTAAGCACTAATGCAGGGATGTCCTTAGGATTTATTTGGGCCTATACAGTGCTCCTAAATCACCGTATCTGTGAGCCGATAAGAAAAATCACCAGCTTGCAAAAACTCTACTTCAGAACGTTTAGCCCCTTGCGGGGCACAGATCTAATACTGAGCTCCGGGGGCATGATCGCCTTCCTGTTGGGGTTACAGAGCACAGGCCTTTCTTTCAGGGCCATGGAGATATTTCCAGTGGTGATACTGGGCAGACAGCGCTTGGGAAGGTGGCATCTCCAGGAATGGAAAAACAAGGGAAAACCTTGGTGAGGAAACAAATCTTAGTCATTCTTCATCCATCAATGCCCCTATTTTTTTTTTATTCTCTTGCCAGGTGATAGCAGGCACATTATTTAGAGAGGAGCATGTTATTGGAAAGCCAGTTGGGGATATAGTTCCATATGGTTTTATCATCCCATTCAAGAAATAATGGCAACTGCTTCGGTCTTTAACTTTGGACCAAATTTTGCACCATCATCATCACGATGTAACCTTTAAGAATCTCAGACTGGGCACCATTATAGCCAGCAGTGTAAATACAAACAACACAAGGACTGTTCCTGCCCCAGAAAACTCACTAGAGCCATTCACGTTAATACGACAACGGACATGCTGAACGTCTGCAGGACTAGGCATTGATTTTCACTGACACAAATTTTCACTCTTGACAAATAACGAGCCTGTTTTATCCCGTAAGCACACTTAATATTTTGTCTGTACATACCAGAAAAGCGAGGGCAGCAAAAATAACTTGCCTGTTGCCAAATGCTGGAAAGAGAAGGAAATAATGGGTTACCTGTTAGTCTATGTGCACGTTCGCTGTGGATGGACTACACCCTGGAACAGAGGATTAGGAATGCGTTTGTCCCACAGGGACTTCACATGAGGGCAGAAAGGAGGAAAGCATCCTTCTACCCATTTTACAGATGGGAAAGTGAATCACAGTGATGTGCGTAAGCTCAGCCAGAGGCTAAAGGCAGTAGTGGGACTAGAAGCCAGATCTTCTGTTTCCAAGGCAGGTGCTTTAATTACTACTCCACACTGCATTGATGGAGCTGAGATGTATCCCGCACTTTCGTTTCTGGAGCAGAGTGTCATCTTTGATTATCAACGGTCTCCAATTCAGCCACACATTCCCCAGTAAAAACACTGAGCTCCAACAGTATTCAGCTACTCAACCCTACATTTCCTTACCCCTTTGGTAGCCACACATCACAACAGTATTGCACCATAAACATCTCAAAGGGTTGCAGGCCTCCTCCACAGTTTCAGTCATGTTTCTTGGCACACAGAGCATGCTCACTTCCTTGATTCTGCAGCTCCTTCCCTGCTCCTGCCTCTCTTCCTTCCCAAACCCACCACCACATCTCAACTCGGGCTGGCACACAGCTCCTCACGTGTGCAATGTTGACATGCCATGACAGCACCTTGACAAGATGGCCAGCCCAGGTGGCTGCTATCAGGGATGATCTAGATGTTGCTTGTTCCTGCCATGAAGACTGGACCTGATGACCTCTGAGGTCCCTTCCAGTCCTAATGTCCTAGGATTCTAATCAGATATTCTTCATGGTTCCTTTTATAACCTATTCCTCCAAGTTATCCATCACTGTGTGTCACCAAAGTAACAATCTCTGCATCTGCGAGGGGATCTGCACATGGACATTTCCGAAAGGGAAGGGGCTAACGTTCATGTCATTCTTCCCTGAACCATCCAAGAATGCGGCCATCCCCCTCAATGAGGTTTAGTCCAGAAGCATCAGTTTCAGGAGTAAGTGCACTCAATGTGGAGATGATCTCCACTGAAAAATGTAGAAAGAATAGACCCCCCAAAAATGGCTGCCCTTGGATTTTGATAGAAGTTGAGCCTCTCTAGTCTAGCACCTTCAGGACCTGAAGGGTGCTGAACCAGAGAATTTGCCGGACCAGGGGAGGTCAATATTATCTAGCAGCATTGCCAGCACTGTCACTGTTCACTGGGCTCTTAAGAGACATTGAGGGGTGAATTAGAGCTAAACAACAGCACAGAACACAGAGAGCCAGAACTGGTGGCTATCAACAAACTTTATGGGACCATGGAAAACTTGGCCACACCCATGCTAAGTGGACATCCAGCTAACTCAAACCACGCCGGATCACGGGTTTTACTGGACTAGAGAGTGCCAACTGGAGAGGATCAATATGTACTCCTCCTTTTCTAAGGGGGAAAACAACTGGTTTCAAAGAAATAGTGTCTTCAATGCCTTCTGATTCAATGAACCAGAATCTAAGAGTTCACTTTTGCACAGCAATTCTAAGCACTACTGCCATTTGCACACAAACATAGCATGAAATGCCATTTTTCAACATGAAATGTGATGATTTTTTGAAAATGGAAGGATGCCAGGATTTTTTTTTTACACTTTTAATTAAAAATACCCACTGAGACACTAAAAGAAGTACTTGAAATTGGCAGGGCAAATCCTACATTCTCCCCAAACCCACAGAATAAAACAAAATGGGAGATAAGCACAAAGATGCAATGCCAGCAAAATGAAGTAGCCAAAGGAAGGTGAAACAACCAAGCACAGGAAAGGAAGAAAATTATGATGATTGTGATCGAACATGGAAAATAAAAAAGGAAAGTTCAATGATTGGACAATAAAACCCAGGAAAGACTTAAGGTACATTGACTCCAGCTACATTCTTTATGTAGCAGGAGTTGCTTAGCTTAAGTTAACTCTCTGCTGTAGTGTAGATATAGCCTCAGTCAAGTTACCACAGGCTCTCTACATGGAAGAGTTGATGGGAGAAACTCTCCCATCAACTTCCCTTACTTTTCTTGTCCGGGATAGAGTAACATGGAAAGCGATCGGCAATGGATTTGGCAAGTCTTCACTAGACCTGCTAAATTGACCATGGGTGGTTTGATCTCAGAGCATCGTTCCCAGCTGTAGAGTAGATGTAATCTCATTGTGCAACAATGGAAAACAAGAAAAATAAAAATTACAAAATGAAGAATGAAAACTACATGAAAAAAATGTTAAAATGAAGGCTTTTTTACAGTTTTGCTCTACGTATTTGACAAAGCCTTCTTGGGTTCACAACCCATTTCGTTTTGCTAAAAATGTTCTCATTTGAATATAATCATTCAGCTCTAATCCCCTTATATATTTTTAATGTAAACATATTGCAAAGGATATGCAAAGCGAGGATAATACTTATCATGCTGTTTCTTTCGTTTGGCTAATATTTCATGTTCACAAAACTCTGATGATTAAACTGTGTTAAACAGTAACATATGTTCACATAGTATGAGAGAAACGCTTACATTAATCTTTCTACTGACAAGCAATGCAAGCCTACACTTTTGGTTGGCAAATGGTCGAATCCTACTTCCATTGAAGTCATACCCAAAACTTCCACAGATTTTAAAACTTTTGGGGCCCAACCTTGCACTTGTTGAAATCAATGCCATTTTCATGGTCTACTTGTACATACATGGTGGAGTATATTGGGGGTGATTGATATAGTAAGCAATCCAAGAAGTGAATCCCCAGTAAAAGGCACAGCCCTGGAATAGAAAAAAAAGTTACATTTCAGGGGGGGAAATTGCAGGTAAATACAAATCTATAATTTCATATAGATTTTCTGGTAGCAGTCCTCTGAGTCCAGATGACTGTGATTTTTTAAAAACATGATTCATTACTGAAAAGAGATAATACTCTTTCCTCTTAAAAGATTTCATTACATAAGCCCAAATTGTAATTAAATGCACATTTTAACATTGAAAACACTTTAAAAAAAACCAATGAATTGTCCTACAACACCTTAGAGACTAACAAAAAAAATTAGATAGTAGCATGAGCTTTCATGGGCACAACCCACGTCTTCAGACAAATGGAGCAAGGGGTCCAGAGGTACAAATAAATAGCAGAAAAAGAGGGGAGAAGGGGAAAGAAAGAAAATAAAAAATCTTGTAAATTAAAGTATCTGTGCTAAATGAGGCTAATCGAACAGGTTGTACTTTGCTTTTTCTGCTGTTTATTTGTACCTTTGGACCCCTTTCTCCATTGGTCTGAATAAGTGGGTTGTGTCCAAAAAAGCTTATGATACCATCTATATTTTTTGTTAGTCTCTAAGGTACTACAGGACCATTTATTTTTTAAGTGTATTCAGTTACAGACTAACATGGCTGGTTCCCTCTCTGAGAATTTTAACACGGAGTTAAATGAGTCTCAGGCTGCTTCTAAGGCAGCACTACTTTTGTTCTTCCCCTTACCAAGGGATCATGACAAATCAATTTTCTAGCCCTATAAAAGGAATATCACTTTCTCAGAGTGCAATATAACTGGACTTCGCTACAGAATAGGCATATTCCTTCAGACTCATACAGATCTGACATCTATTTGTAAGAGAACACAGGTTGGTTCAACGTGTTGATCTATAAATCGTTTTCACAGCCTATGTTCCCAACTGAGGTAGCAACGGTCATGTAGAGGTAAAAGTTAAAAGGTAATAAAAAAAAGAATTCAGAAATAAGTTTCCTTTGGAGGATTACACTTGGCTGAATACTATTCCTGGATCAATTTTCAGCAACTAGTACCAGTTGTGACAAAACTGTGTGCGTGCTAGTTGTTGAACAGCAGTAATTTCTGTAGAATAAGTAATTCAACAAATGTATGTTATCTTTCGGTAAAACCTGTTAGCGTTTTCCATCTCCTACACACGTTCTTGAGGAACAGAGTTAAAATTTATGGATTATTATGATTTATTTGCCTTACTATAGTAGTGTGACTTAATCTTCTCGAGCTAGGTGTCGTACAGATGGAAAACAAAAAGACAGTCCATGTCTCAAAGACCTTTTATCTATAGGTAATGTTTTCTTGATGCTACTGTATCACCGGCAAGTGGAACTGAACCTGGGACCTGTGGAGATTAGTGCATGAGTGTCTAAAGGTTTAGCTAAAAGCCAGCTGCCTCTCAGCTAAGGCTGTAGAGCAAACTCATTCTTTCTCTGTAAGTGGTCTAAGTGCCTCTACATAGGACAGAGAGCCACACCCAGAAGATCTTTCTTAAGACATGTATTGCTTCTTTTACCAGGAAGGATCCCAAAGTAATCTACTGGACTAGGCATCCTGGAGGTTCCCTGCAGTCTGAAGGAAGAGGGTCTTCTTATGGGAATGAGGAGAAGACCACATAGAGTTGGTTGTAGGCCTGGGTCTCATGGATCTGATGGGGAGAGGTGCAGTTCCACTAAAATTCACTCAGCTGAACCTATGTATTCAGCATCACATTATCCACCCTTGAGACATGGCCATCTCTGAAGAGGGATCATAGCTGTCGCTTGTTGGTGACTGAAGAAAACCAACTGAAATGATGGGGGTGAAAGCAGGCAGAGTCCAATAACCCGACGGTCATCTTGCCTGCATGCAATGGTGAATACCTCCATTCTTACCAAAACTACCACGGGATCCAATTCTTCTAAGTGACTAAAAATATGAAAATCAGGGCTTGTCTTCACTTCCGGGAAGACTGGCACTCTGAAGGTCGATCTTCCAGCATTTGATTTAACCCGTCTAGTAAGGATCCACTAAATTGAACACTGAGGTGCCTAGAACTTCTTGCAATCATGAGGGAAGTCAATGGGAGTTTCTCCCATCGATCTCCAGTTGTGGGGCTGCCCCAAGAAAAATTGATGGAAGGTATGTCAACTTCAGCTAGGCAATTCATGCGTCTTGCATTGATTTTCTCCACCAGAGTAGACCTGGCCTCAGTGTTCCTTCCAAGTGCCTTAGTCCCATTGGAAAGTTACAGGTGCTTTTGGGAATTTTACCTCTTATTTTGAGGTGTTTTTTTGGATCAAAAGACCTCAGTTTTACATCTCATTGGAAACTTGGCATCCTCCATAGCACATGCCCAATAAACCTTCACTTCTTCTTTGTTTGTATCTGAATTGCCAATCCTTTTGTTCTCACCTCCACAGCCTATACTTATCTGAAAGACGTTTAATTTAATGTTCCCTCTTTCTTCTTGTGCATTGCTATAACATAATTAAAACAGCAACTGGAAAAAGAGGAAGACTGGACTTTTGGTTGAGGTGCAAGACAAATGCTTTGGAGATGTTAGTTCTAATCATATGTCTGCCACCGAAGTCCCACATGATTGTGGGAAACTGATATGACATTCTCTTTGCCTTGATCCCTCATCTGTAATACAAGAATAAGAATCCTTCCTTTGCATTGTCTATTTAACTGGTAACCTCTTCAAGGCAGATATGGTCTCTGACTGTATGTTTGCAGAACCAATAGCAGAGCAAAGTCCAATTTCAGTTATGAACTATAGTTGTTAATGTGATTCAGATAACAACAACAAATAAATACCGTTCAGTCAGAGGAGTGTTATAACCACTGATGGCTGGATTCTCAGGAGGGTGCAAATAAAAAATCAACACAGCTCTGAAGAAGTCAACAGCTACTTCAGCTATGTGAATTGTGTAGCTGGAGTAAACGTACTTTGCATCGATTTTTCTGGAACAGCCCTGCAAAAGGAGGTCAACAGGAGAAACTCTCCTGTCGACTTTCCTTACTCCTCCCAACTTCAAGGAGTTCTGGGGTTGATGGGAGTACCTTCAGTATTTGATTTAGTGGGTCCTTACCAGACTCACTAAATCAAACACTGGAAGATCAACCTCCGGAGCACCGATCTTCTCGTTGATTTATCCCAGCTTAGATTCTGGCCTTAAGACTTTAAGTCCTGTAAAGGGAACATAATTAGTGGGCGTGGAATACAAATGAATTTTCTTTTCCCTACCATTGTTCTGGTCCCTGTTAGCATGAGACATGTCTTTATATTGCATACAGTGAAAAATATAAGGGTTACCTTTAGCATATTTTTCAGGGGAGTGTGCCCCCCGGAAATCTTGTGAACAAATAATGTCTCCAGAAGGTATCGGATATAGTGTAAACAATGACAGAAGCAGGCCAAGCTAGAAAGACAATGAAAAAGGGGATTGAACGTACATGAAAGATTGGATCGGGAGGGGGAGGTATTTGGTTTTGTCTTCTTTAAGGGAAAGAACACGAAAAATCTCACATGCACTTGCTGGTATGTCACACTTTATTTTCACATCATAACTAAAAGACTAATATTCTAGAACTGAAGAGTCACGCTTGAAATCCCTGGGCAAAAGACTCTGCCCTCGTGAAAACTAAACACAGAGATGAGCGGAATCATTTTTACAGCATTATATAACATTTTACGGCAGCAGCAGCAGCAACATTTTTTACCAACCTTGAATTAAAAAGGACACAGCATGCTCAGAATGCAAGGTACAGCTACGATGGCTGATTAAAATAGTACAGCTGTGTGTACAAGCAGACGCCCACTCTGTTTTGAACCGACGTCTCCCACATTGTAGGGATATCTTAATGCTCTCATAGGATCTCTCTGACATTTGAAAACATTCTGAATGGTTTACTTGTCCTTTAGTAAGTACAGTAGCTACACAGAGATAGTTTCTATTTCATTTCCTTGTGGAGACAAAACGAGATTTTGTTGCAGAGTGAATCTTTTGTGATGGCTTTTTTTTGTTCCAAGTTACAATGGAATGAGGTAATTGTTATTGAATTTATTACGCAGGTTCCCTTTGGAGGAGGATTATGAAACAACCACCAGCACTTCTGATCTGCTCCACCGAACGAGCCGCAAGCTCATAAAGATTGGGTTTAAAAAACAAATGTCAAGAGTGATTCATGGCGGCATTTTATCTTGGTTGTATTTACCGGACCCACTCTGCCTGTCTCATTGAAAGCCAATTATGAGACATAAATGAAAAGTGATTTTCGGTGGGTAAAGTTTCAGATACTTTGGCCACCGTACAAAATGCTCAATAAAAGTCAAAGATTAAACAATTCTGAAGTAATTCAATCAGCCAGGTTTGAGCTTAGGAAACTCAGATAATGAATGACAGCGCAGAAGGCTGAATCACTCTTTCTCGTTAGGAATTTTGGAAATATTTGGGCTTACTTCAGGGACTGCATTTAAAGAGCTTGCCTTGAAATCAGCAGAAGGGCTCTCTGCATCCCAGCCCCACAATAAATAATGCAGCTATTTTAGCCTCTCACCTATTAAAAAGACTTTCTTTCCTTTGAAATGTAAAACCCCAAAGAGGAAGGGTGTATCTCTGGCACTTGAGGCTGTGTCTAGATTACATCCCTCTTTCGACAGAGGGATGTAAATTAGGCACTTCGAAATTGCCGGGATTTGCATTTCCCGCACTTCATTTGCATAATCACGTTATGGTGCTCTTTCGAAAAAGTGCTATTTCGAAAGTAAAACCGCGGTCTAGACGCGGTTCTTTCGAAAAGGGAAGGCTTTTTTGAAAGATCCTATAAGCCAGCCTTCCCTTTTTAAAAGAACCACATCTAGACCGCGGTTTTACTTTTGAACTAGCGCTTTTTCGTGATTATGCAAATTAAGCACGGGAAATTCAAATCCCAGCTTCATTTGCAATTTCAAAGTGCTTAATTTACATCCCTCTGTCAAAAGAGGGATGTAGTGAGTGAATAACTCAGGAGTTATTCTGGATTCTACACACAGCTCTCTCGTCTATTTAGGTTCCCTTGATGCTACAGCCGTGAGCACGTAAAGGACTGTTATGCCCACAGGATACTCTGCTGACCACTAGGGAATCATGTTTAATAGAAACTCAGTGACTGCTCTGAAGCTCCTTCAGAACTCTTGCAAGGATCCCATCTGGTCCTGATGGAACTTTCACTGTGTGATTTTCAAAAACACCACTGGATTTAGGAGCCTGATGCTTATTCTGTCAGAGCCTTGCATGGAAATCTCTGGCCTAATAAACACTGGACTGAAGTTCAGGAGATCTGGAGTCTATTCCTTGTTCTGCCACTGATATACTATGTGACCTTGGGTGAGTCACCTCCACCCATTTCCCATCACATCTTTTGTCTGGCTCGTCTATTTCAATAGAAACTAGAGAGGGCAAGAACTGTCTTCCATCACACACAAACACACACACACACACACACACACACACACACACACACACACACACCCCAGGACTTCATTACTGGGTGGGATCATTTGTAATATAACAAATAATAACAAACAAAAGAAACAAAACCCTGAAATCTCTCATTGACTTCAAAGAGGAGGGGTTTGGATGTGGAAGGAATGGAGGGGTATGTACACTGGACTCTACCACTCTAGAAGCAACAGAGGGCAGTAAAACCCAACAGTCTCATCATGCAATTTGTCGGAAGTATATATTGGGTTACAAACCTGGGGGACTTCGGGTCATATACTTACTGAACTACTGGGTGGCGGAAGCTCTCTCTGCTTTCCTCCTCCTCATAAATATTGGAAAGGCGAATGTAAAAGAGCAAGTAGATTATTAGGGGCCCACTGTATTCTGTCAGAAAAACCTAGAAATGAAAAAAAGACTTCTCAGAACATGGAATTATAGCAAGAAAGAAACAAGAAAAGCTTAGTTATTTGCAGAGCCATGTATCTGATCTGCGTTGGCAGAGGGGGCCTTGGTACGCCCATATCGGGAATACTGCATGCAGATCTGGTCACACCAACAGATATCAGAGTTGGAAAAGGCACAGAAAAAAACCCCAAAAATTCTGAGGTGTGTGGAACAGCTTCTATATGAGGAGAGATCAGACTGGGACATTTCAGCTTGGAAAAGAGACTACTAAGGAGGGATATGATTGAAGTCAATAAAATCATGACTGGTGTGGAGAAAGTAAATAAAGAAGTGTTGTTTACTCTTTCTCATAACACAAGAACTAGCAATCACCAAATAAAGTTAATAGGCAGCAGATTTAAAACAAACAAAAGGAACTATTTCTTCATGTTAGCCTGTGGAACTCCTTGCCAGAGGATGTTGTGAACGCTAAGAGTATAACAGTATTCAAAAAAGAGGTTAGGTCCATCAATGGCTATTAGCCAGGATGGATGGAAATGGTGTCTCTAGCCTCTGTTTGTCAGGGTCTGGAAATGGAGGACAGGAGAGGGATCACGTGAGGGCACCTGGCATTGTTAAAGACAGGAGACTAGGCTAGCTGGACTTTTGTTCTGACCCAGTATAGCTGTTATGTTCTTATGCCAGTGCTGACCCTAGACATCTCTCCAGTCCTGGGGCCAGTTCTGACAATTGTTTTTAACTGGAAAATTTTTGAATAATTTTTTAAATAGTCAAAATGTTCGCGTTTGGTTCCAAAATCACTTTTCATTTCAAAACTTGAACTCATTATCAGACAAAAGCACAAATAGGGGGGGAAAATACCCTTCAAAACTGGCTGAAATGGAAAGAATGTGATTCAACTGACCCAATATGTGATTCTTCCTTCACGATATTTTTAAAAGGTTTTGACTTTTCATTCCCATTTGGAATGGCAAAAGTCTGAAAATGTTCACAGGGATGGGAAGACTCTTTCTCGCTCCGCATTAGTTGTTACAACATTCTTGCCATATGAAGCCTTCAGTCACTTGTCAGTGAAAGTCTCCATTGAAATTACTGAAAAGGGGTTGCTCTTGCAAGCTTTGGAGAGGAATGCACAGTCAAGAGGGGCCTATAAAGAACAGCATCTTTTTTTCCAAAGAAAAAATAACTCTTCCTCCTCTCCAAGTATGCCGTGTCTACACTGGGGAGCTGTGCAGACACAACGCCACATTTTAAGGGTAAAGGACATTCAGAAAAGTAGATCCCTTTGGATAAATTGTCATGGCTCCTATTCCGCCTTTGAGGGCAGTAAGATGAAGTGTGCCCTGGTCTTTCCCAGCCCCACTCAAATGGGTACTTCTGCCACAGGTGGAGGAGTGGGAATTGCTTGTCCACGATTCGATCCTCATTGTGATCCAGAAGGAAAGTGAATGGGTGGTGTCCTGGCTCTGTGCCCTGAAGGGGAGGAGCCTCAGGTAGAAAAGGCGGGGCTTGGGGCACTTGGAGCATGCTGTTCCCTGCTCCCCACTGCAGCCAGCTCACCATGCTGCTCCGCCCCTCCAGTCCTCCAAGCCACTCAGAGCTTACAGCGCTCTGGCGGCAATTTAGAGGGCAATTTAAAGCCACGGTAGAATGAGCTGAAGAATAGTACCGTCTCCCTCAGGGGTTAGGGCAACATAGCTCGGCCTCCTAGGGTGTGGCTTTTTCACACCCCTGAGAAACATAGCTATGCTGAGGCAAGCGTTGGGTGTAAACCGGCCCATAGACTACTGGGCTGCAGAGAAAACACTACCTTCACCAACAGAAGAGGTTCTCCTGTGAGTTATACACCTCCCTGAGAGGCGGATGGAGTCTCCTGTGAACCAAACACCATCAACTTGGGTTGTGAGGTCAGATTAACTGCAGCACGTGGCTGTGTGAATTGTTTGATTTTTTGTGGGTTCCCTCTCCCCCCACACACACACTCCGAGCAACACAGTGATATGGGCCTAATTTCCTTGTGTAGACCAGACCTCAGTTGCCCTCAATTCTCTCCACTGGGTGATATAGCTACACACTGCCCTTTCCTCAGGGCCGATTGTAACGTTACAGTCCAGCGCGTGGAAAACAGCCTTCCCCTGAGACTGACACAATGCTTAGCCTTTAAACAATCCCAGCTGGTGAAACTATAATATGACCAGAACAACACGAAGCATGAATCTGATTGTCTAGCCTCTCTGGAATGAAAGCCAGGATTAAAACTCTGTAGTACTACATATTTACAAGAGATCGTAATGAGCAAACTGTGGCTCAAGAGCATAAACACTGCAGAAAGGAGTTTAATGGGATATATATTCATAACGAATGGGCTATTTAGCTTAACGGTGCCGTGCGCAGTGCTTTAGGACTTAAATGTTAAATGCTTGGGGTGGAAATAAATTTAATTGTGAATCCCTTTCTCCAAATAGCGCTTGGCAATCCATCAATGGACCCCCGTGGATTTTGTTTTTGAAATCTATCTTTAGCAGCACTTATAAATGACTACAAAAAACAGAGTTTTTCTGGCGTGGCAACGTTTAATTGGCACCCCTTTTACTTTGGCATACAACAATTCTTCTCTTTTCTTCCATTAGCAGCTATGGGCTGAATTTCAATCAAGTCTCCAGTTCTCTGGCAGTTCTGAAAATCTCCCAAGTCTCTAGAGGCTTTGAAAATCTCAACCAATAAACACAAAGCCTATGTTTCATATGACTTTGTGCCATTGAATTAGGCCTATGCATTAAGGGCTACCTAACATAAGAACAGCCAGCCTGGGTCAGACCAAAGGTCCATCTAGCCCAGCGTCCTATCTGCCAACAGTGGCCAATGCCAGCTGCCCCAGATGGAGTGAACAGACCAGGGAACCATCATGTGATCCCTCCCATGTCATCCATTTCCAGCCTCTGAGAACCAGAGGCTTGGGACACCATCCCTGCCAATCTTGGCTAATAGCCATTGATGGACCTAACCTCCATGAATCTATCTGGCTCTTTTTTGAATACTGTTGTATTCTTAGCCTTCACAACATCCTCTGGCAAGGAGTTCCACAAGTTGACTGTGCATAGTCTTCACAACATCCAACCTAAATTAGGCTTGTGATTTAACATTGGAAAAACTTGCCAGCTGTCTACACTGGCTGCTTGAATTTCCGCAAGAACACTGATGATCTCATGTAAGATTGTCCGTGTTCTTGCGGAAATACTATGCTGCTCCCATTCGGGCAAAAGCCCTCTTGCGCAAATCATTTGCGCAAGAGGGCCAGTGTAGACAGCACAGTACTGTTTTCCGCAAAAAAGCTCCGATGGCTAAAATGGCGACGGGGCTTTTTTGCAGAAAAGCGCGTCTAGATTGGCACGGACGCTTTTCTGCAAAAAGTGCTTTTGCGGAAAAGCGTCCTGCCAATCTAGACGCCCTTTTCCGAAACTTTTCCGTTAAAAGCATTTCCGGAAAATCATGCCAGTGTAGACGTAGCCACCGTGACTGTCTGTAATGTCTGTAATAACAACGGGAGCCCCTAACACGTGAATTCCATCTGCATTAAAGGAGACAAGTGACAAAGCGAGGCTGTTGCCTCATTCCTGCCTTCATCCTGCATGGATCAGATTGTTCCCTCTTCTGACAGGGCTGCAGGGTCTGACTGTTATTCAGTGCCCTCAGGCTCAAACAGTTTTAAAAAAAACCCTTTGGTACCATCAGATCAGGGATGACAGTCCCAACCTGCACGAGGCAGTGGGCATATTTCGGAGACACGACCTCAGAGGAGGTGAGGGGAGCTCCTTACAGCTCTCCCTGGCGTGTCACACGTGTGGAATGTGGCAGAGGCATGAGACCGGCTTTCGGGCTCATGGGTGCAACGGGATTTGAACGGCGGCAGCAGAGGGGAGTAGAGCGTTCCTAATGCCAGTTCAGAACCCTGGTGAAATCCAAGAGAAAAAAATGCGGAGGGGGACCACTGGGGAGAGGGGAAGAGCTTGGAGGCCAACACCGAAATGTTATTTTGAGGCAGTAAGAAACAGCAGGAAAATCCCAGACTCCCAAACTTGAAGCCACAGAGTCACAAATCAGTCTTCTCAACACTATACTAGCTGCTTCCCCATCCAACCCTTGTAACGTGCCCTTTCTCTCCGGCGCTGGAACACACCCCAGGGGGATCATGTTGCTTTTTGGAAGAGTCGAGGGTTATTTCATGGACGGTGAGTGGCAGGAGGGAACTCCAGAGAGGCCATTTAACCTTTCCCTGCTGCTTTTTTCCTCAGCTTCATGCCCCAGATCTTTCCATGCCTTGTATGGGGAGTCTGCCTGTTCACGGGTGACATTTCCAACAGGTAGAGAGTGCATGGGGAGGGGACACCCTTGGTAGGAGAAATGAGTTTGGGCCATTGCCTGAGGCTAACAGCAAAGCAGTAGCGAGGACAGATTGTAAGCATGTGTGGGGCAAAAATGTGGGGGAAACCACAACAACAGTATACAAATTCTCTAAAACAGCGTTTCTCAAACTGTGGGTTCTAGATCCCCGGGGGGGCATGAGCAACTTAGAGTGGGGGTCGCGGTATCACAAACTTTGAGAACCCCTGATCTGCGGGACTGTGTTTAGGGTTGCTGGGTCTTTTTTTAATTTATTTTATTTTATTTTATTAATTATTTTATTTATTTATTTATTGGACAAATGCAAGACAGAGGGTGGTCGAGTTTATAATTCTGAGTCTAGGCCATCTATAGTTAGATTTCTATAAGTACTCAGCTGTATCTATATATACACACACAGATATATATATATATATATGGTACTTTAACTATAGCCAAATGTCTGAAAATTCAAAGGAGCCTGATTTCCAAAAGAACTTAGCACTTACATCCCAGTCACATTATCCACTAGGGAACACTGCCTCTTATTTAGCTACCTAGGCACCAGTCTGCATTAGGGACTTATTTCAGAATAACTCCCCTTAATTTGAA